TTAAACGTTGTTGGTGTATTGATCGAAATTTACATGGCCTGCACATGTTCGAGAAATGGTTATAAATCATTACATGCTCTGAAGCTAAAAATTCCCAGTCCCACAAAAGTTCCCAGATGTTGTTGCAGGTTTCGAAAATCATGAAAAATCTGTTACGATGCCTTGGAAACCCAATGTTTGTGAATTATACACTAATTTTTGAAAAAGAGCTTGTTGCTTTGTATTTCTACAGAATCATGTATAACGTATCAAAGGAAAAAATATTAAGACAAGAACTAAATTTCAAGCTAACCTACCTGTGTAGTAGATTGTTAATAAAAAATACATTTCAGCAAAGTTGGTATTTTTACAACCTCTTTGTTGTACGCAGGGACGGATTTAAGCAACAATGATTGGGTGGGTGTTAAAAACAGATTCGATTTTGGTACCACGCCCATCATGTTACTGGAAAATGATGAAAACACCAAGTTTGAAAATTCGGTTTTTAACTTCGATAACTTTGAAAATTCGATAAATAATGTCAAATCTTGGCATTACTATCAAATCTATCAAAAAATGATTGTACAGAATGGTAGCAAAATTTACCGGAGGAAATAGAAGTATTGGAGGTTGTCGCACCCCCTACACCTCCGCGCTAAATCCGTCCCTGAATGTACGTTACTTCTTCTTGAATTATTTATTTTTTAAAAAGCTGGTAATAAGAAGCTGAATCATTCAAATGTAGATGCACTCTCTTTATAAGAATCAGTAAATTAAAATTCAGGCTGGCTGTTCATAATTTTTCTTGATTTGTCCTTGATTTGGTCTTAAATTTTTAGGGACAGTATTTGGCTGCAGTGCAACATTTGTTCTGGAAATGCTCATGACATTTCTGTCAAGAGGTTTGCGTCCGTTCTAATGCTCCAATTATTTTTGCTCTCTGTGTCTCAATTTTGCAAACCCACCTGCTATTCACGTTGACTGATCGCTAAGAAATTCTGAGTTCTGCACTTTTTAAAAGTAGAATTTTTCTTAATTGCCATGAAATTTTGTTTACGAGCAAAGTTGATTTGTGGAGTTTACTCGATGGATTTTTATTATCATTATTGTTATTATGAAAGCTATTTCTCGCTATTGCATCTTTGCTTAATCAAAGTGAATAGAAGAGACCAAGCATGCATTCTTCTACATCGTGTAAATCCTGTTTATTGTTGAATGTAAACTGCTTTCCCACGAAAAGAGGGGTTTAGCCCGATCAATATTTCCCAAAATGTACTCACAATCCACACAATTTTTCATGTTGCCCTTTTTTGTAATACTAAAATATGAAGATGGCTTTGAAAAAAGCAAGCATTTTATAACATATTGGCTAACAGCTTTTTCGCCTGACACTCCTCAGAGCATAAAACGTCAGGGTCCGAAAGAACACGATGAAAAATATATACCCAGTTATAGATCGAAATAGGCCAATCAGAAAAACGCAAGCACAAGACCGCTATAGTTGACCAATCAATGCCGCGTGTCTAAAGAAACATTACCACTGGAGTCCAAGAGAGAAAATGAACTCCTTCTGTCTACACAATGGCGGCTTTTTCGTTTGTTTGTAGATCGATTCCAAAACTGCTAGATGGAAGGACGACCGGGCTCTGCCAATTATCCAAAACATGTTGTCATTATAGAGTTTTGCACAATCTGGGTTGTCTAAAAGATGTTAACCGATGGCAGAATCACTTGTTTTAACAGTGTTTCTAGACCTACAAGATCGAGGAGGCTGTTCTCTTTGAGGGGCAGTTTTGTTTCTTATGTTTGAAGGAACATGCTGTTTTATCCTATCCCCCAATCTTTGGGTTGTGCGTCCTACGTAGCCAGAATCACACTGGCACGTAAATTCATAAATAACGGAACTTTTTTGGTTGGTAGGAACGCAATCCTTTTGAATGGATGGAAGGGCTCTCCTAGTGCTGTAAATAATACAAGGATTGACAGCAAAGAAACATTTAGCTATGGCTTGCCTAATACTAAGTTCTGTTTCAATTAGCAGTGACAAGAAAAAAGAATTTTTTATAAAATCCATATATGTTACTATACTATATATATACGCAATACATAAGCAAAAAGTTAAGGCATTGCGTAATAAAGAGGGATTCGACTCACTTTTAATGTTATGCATTGAATTTGATCAAGACAACCTCACAGTGAATCGGCATTTGAAGCGTAGCAAAGGGAATTACTACTTAGCTGAGCTGATGTAGTTCATCTTCTTTTGAAAAGCCCACAACCGTCTGATCATATGAAAATGAGATGAGTATGATATGAAAATGAGATGAATATGATATGAAAATATGGCGTAAGTGAATTTTCAATGCATCAAAGTACAAACCTAGATTGTTGCAAAAACCAGGAAGGATTAAACAGAAAACTTCTTTGTAAAATTTTCTGCGTCATTGTAGGAGTGTTCTATGCACCTTACTTTTGGCGCTTTGAATTGCGCAACTGCCTTTGTACCCATTGAGAATCGAAAAATTGTTTCTTTACAAAAATTTGTGCTAAGAAAAAGGTGAAGATATAGGCTTGCATATTAATTTTCCCCTCTTCTCTCCTTTCTTTTGATAGTAAGTTGATATATCAAGTTGCAGATGAATGGAACAATTTACAACCTTTTTGCATAAAAATATTGATAAATCCTGTCGAGCGGTCAGCTCTCTTTTCATCCATGGGTGTAGTGCTAGGGGGGCTCAGGGGTGCTTGTTGATACCAAAAATTGGCAAATTTATACTTTTGCTATTGTTTTTTGCAACATTTTGTGCAAGAGCCCCTCTGTATACGACATAACGGCTGGGATTGCGAACCATTTTTAGAGTTTAGGGGGTTTGAAATGTTTTGAGAGCCCAACCTGTTAAAAGCCATGGATACGTTGAGACACCGAGTGGTTTTTATCTACAATATTTTAATCTTTGGGACTATCCCCCTCCCCTTGCTGGTGCAGTCCCTGCATCCAGGTGCCATGTCTGTATGATATGATAGAATCTTCGGCTAATCATGACTAAATCGCCATTTCGGTCTCGAAACAGAACTGCAACAAAACCGGTTGACCTGCCTTAACACGATAAGATGTTTTCAGCTGATTGTCAGACATTTCTCAACGGAGCAGCTTCGAATACGCTGCTACAGAATAAGGATAACGCTCGGTTATTCTTATTCTGTGACGCTGCCTGTGCTCCAGACTCCTCTGTAATTAGCTAATGTGCTATCTCGGCTAATCATTAGAAACCATTTTGTTAAAAGTTCATAATTTCTTCTCGAGGTTTTCCTTACAACATGCATTCACTTAAAAGCCAGACTAAGGCTAAGAAAGATCCACGTGTGGCAGCTTGCAGTTTACAGCACTTATTTTAATCTTTGATTTTATTTGATGCTATTTTATACACTTCCGGCTAAGCTAGATAGCTAGCAAGGAGGAAAACCAAGGCTTGTCGCAAAAGATTAACGTAAAAATGTAGAACTGCTTCATTTGAAGTGTTTATGCGATGTTCATGGCTTCAAGTAAGCGTTGTCAAATTTTTATCTGCATATTTGCTGAAATTAGATTATAAAATTGAAATCGTGATGCTGCATTTTTCTTCATTCATTTTTATTTAATACGGTAGTATTAAATAGTCATGACATAAGTCAGAAGGACTGTTTTTCTGGAGGTCGTCTGAACTTTACAATATTAGCTACAAACTAAAGGAATTTATAAAGCCTGTTTAACACAAAGGTTATTAATTTAAATTTTTTCCAGTCGGGAAATTTTTCATACTTGGAAACAAGGCAACCACAGTGGTATTGCGCAAATGGTATACTGATACCTTCTCGCGCAGAGTTTTCTTTGAATAGGTTGAATAATGCTTTGCATGTAATAGTAGCTGTCGCTCTTTTTATCATATCAGTAACACTTGCCAATTGAGTTTTTGATCAGAATTGCGGTGGATGTATCGTAGCTTTCAGTGGTGACAATCCTTACAGCCCCATTTTGCAATTTTTGTGAAGTTCGCAATTTATTTTCGCCGCAGCTTCCCAAAAACAGAACAACAGTAGTGGAAATGTGGATCTACGATCCTATGAAACATTTTGATATGTGAAATACTTTTGTCATCGTTATACTTAGTCACATTGCATTTATGGAGATACATTTGGAGATCGTTAATGTAAGTAATAAATAGAATGGGACCAAGACGTGAATCCCGTGGGATTCCATAATCAACTTCCTGTAGGCTTGAGGGTGTGCCATTAACCCTGTGAAATTCATGTCAGATTTGCACATACCACTTCAACCAAAAAATCTTGCCATGATTCATTTTGCAATTACCCGGTGCCAAAAATTTAATGGTGTTTGGACTGTCCGGCCGCAAATAACACCGTTTTCCAAAAATAAGTTATAATTTTACGGCAGCAGCAAATTTCAGTCAAAACTTAAGAAAAATCTAACTATTCAAAATGCAATACCTCGCTACTAAAAGCATAGGTTCCAAATCTTTGATTTGCTGAGCGACCTAAATTCTGCAGACAGAATTGAGGAATCGTAATTCAAGAATATGACAACAAACGTGCCTCGCATCTAAATTTAGGCCTATTTTGGACACTACCCACAAAAAATAAACGTGTAAAATGTGCTGAAAGATAACCTAATTTTTTTTAACATTGAATCTGTGATAAATTTATGAAAAAACTGCCGTTGTACTCAGTAAAAAATTTTTTGCGATCGTTAGTTACAAAGGCTTGAAACTGTCCCTTTCAAACCCTCATATTAATTAGGGAAGTTGGAACACAGAGAAATTGCAGTTTTTAAGCCTTAAAATTTGTTTTATCCACGTAATTAGCAAAAAGAACTTGCCTTTACAAGCCAATGTTACAATCTTTTCTTGTCGGCATTGATGCTTGTGTTACTGACGGAAAAATCGCTAAATTCCACTGAGAGAAAATGCCGCCCATCTTTCTTTAAAAATAACTGCAACAAGTACGAGATACGATAAGTGAACGACATGGGCGAAAATACAGGAAACAGACGAAACTTTCTTGCGATAATGGAACTGATTGCAAAATATGACCCTATTGTAAAAGAGCATTTGAAAAGCGGTCAGCGAAATGCAAAAATGTTATCATGGAAGACCCAAAATGACATTATTGCCAATGCAGCTTTAGTTATAAAGAACCAGATAAAGGATATGATATCAATACCAAAATTTTATGCGGTGATTGTAGATGAGGTCACAAAAAAGTTTGCCAATAAAGAAGTTCTACTCGTTTGTATCTGTTTTCTCAACTCAATTAATGGTGAGCCGAAAGTTGAGGAAACATTTTTCCAGTCCATGCACATGAAAGGATGCACTTCTGGAAAAAACCTGGGCCAGAATATCGTAGAAATATTGAGAAGCAACGACCAAGTTATGGCTGATTGCAGAGGACAAGCATATGATGGAGCTGCGGCAATGTCTAGTGATAGGTGCGGTGCACAAGCTGAAGTCCGGAAGGAGGCCCTCATTGCAGCATATACATACTGTCGGATTCATGTCATTAATCATGCAATTATTGCTCTGCATGTAAGAATCGAAGCATCAGTAACATGGTGGATGTCATTTCAACAGTTTACCTGTTCTACGTATTCTCTCCAAAAAGAAAATGGTACTTTGAAAAATTCTTGAATTTTCACAGCGAAGAAATGGGCCTCACAGAGGTACAGAGGAAGAATATAGTCAGTCTGGCACGCACTCGTTGGGTCGAACGTCATCGTGCATTCGAGCCATACTATTTGCTCTATCGTGCCAATATTGCAGTAATGGATTCTATCTTCAAAGCCCGACTCTACAGCGAGTTTTATGATGCACTACGCACTGATTTTGAAGAAGAATGGTCCTGGGACGCCGAAACCAAATCAAAGGCACAAGGCTCGTATTCTTCATGCAGCTCATTTGCACATACAGTTTCATTTATTTCGACAATGAACAGGATGGAGCCTCTAAGAGCACTTGTAAAAAAGTTACAAGGAAGTAATAAAGACATCTTTCAAGCCTACTATATGATTGACAGTGTAATAGAGGAACTTTCCATGAAACGAGCGAAAATAGAGAAAGAATTCGCAGACTGGTATGAGCAAGCAGTAAAGATGGCACAGTCAGTTGGTGATGTTGGAGCAGATTCCGCGGTAACGTCGAAAGTGATGACATAGAAGAATATTTCCGTCGCTCTGTAGCAGTTTCATTCCTTGAAGCATTATAAGTTAGCTTAGGTCAAGGCCCACAGACAGACAGAGATGCGCCTGTCGTATATCACTAAACTTGATTCTCAGCCCCCTCCCCCCCCCAGGTTCAAATTCATGGTGCCGTCCCTATTTCTTTGATCGGGGATCCTTTTGACTCTTTTGCAGACAAAAAAAATTTTACACAAAAAAGGTAATTTCCGTACATGAATGCATTTTTATTTTCCCGACCATAGGTTCCCGAATTATTCGTTCCCGAATTCCGCTCACAAATATTTGCCAATTCCCGATTAACGACTCCAAAAAATGACGTTTCCCACTTCCCCGAAAAACATATCGGATGACCTCTGTAAATTCTAAAAATGTATATTAATACCTTGATTTAAAATTGGCTGTTCGAAATAGCTAAAAATTAAAGCTAATTACGGCCAACTATTTACAAAAGGTGTATACAAAAGAAATACTTAATAATTACAAAAGACCTAAACCATATATAAAAGTTTTGCAAATCCTACAGTTGCAATGTTTGCATTTTGTTGTCAAAGAGACTAAAGTTTTCACTTCTATAGGTAATTTTGCCCATATTTTTTTACCCATGAACCTTACGACTTACGGTATCTGTACCATAGCATGTGGTTCTCACTTTTGGTAGGTTTAACTTGCTCGAGCTTCTTAGTTGATACGGCATTGCCTTTTCCTCAAAAACTTCCATCATAAACGAGGGACTCAAGTGATTCCTTGTTTTGTAAATTTCAACCATGAGCACCTGTAGTTCTGCTGATGTATAGATACCAAAATATCATTTTCTAACAATTTCTTGTGAGGCGAAGTGTTGTCTTTGTGTGCGATTCGAAGGGCCCTTTCCTGTATCCTGTTTATCTTATTATTAATATTTGTAAGAATATGAAAGGTGCATCTAGAATCTCGCAAAGATGCGAAAGCTTGAAAGATTACAATCAATCTTATCAAAAGAGGCAAGCCCTGCCTTGTGGGCAGGGGCGGATCGAGACATTCTCAACATTCTCAATTTAGAATGTCAGATTTTCCCAGTTTGATTATTCTAAATAAAATGCTAAAAGTAATGAATGAGCTCAGATTTAAGATTCAAGATAAGCTTACATCTTTTTATTATGTATTTTAGGTATTTATTTCTACATAATCGTCGTATTTGCTATATTTTACTCCGTTTTGCCTTTGCGAAACATTTTTATATCTTCTCCGATGAAAAACCAAATTCTCCTTCATTGAACCTAGTACCCAGGAGAGTAGTAAGAGGCTGCGCCGCGTCCTGTATCTAGGCATGATTTTTAGAAAGTTTATCGACTGTTGCCATGCATTTTGAGAAGTTCCTTCGCATTTTTAGAAAGTTGCACGCAGTTTCTGTATGCGCACGCAGAGAATTTCAATTCATTTTTGTCACCTAGAAGAGGTCGACCTGAAAGATTTTAACGAGAGGAAAATTCGCCAGAATGACGTATTAAACCCATTCACTTTTAATAGGGTATATCTGGCATATGTTTAACATATATTTTATGAGGTCTTGCCTACGTCGCAGTTTGAGAATCTTGAGAAGTTAGTGGGCTGGTCCACAAAGTAGCTAAATTTGACAGGGAACACCAACTTCATGTGATCAAGAATCCACACTCGACTCCAGACTACAGTGGCAGTGGCAGTGCCTGGTAATGATTTGTGTTTGTGCTTGATTAGAGAATAATTTCACAAGAACCCATTGCAAGTATGGATGTATTGGAAGAATTGAAACAGTTATTGACCGATTGTGCTTTGGATACCATCGAGGAGTATTTTTTTTCGCTGACTAGGGAATGGTTACTTACAAGTCTGCCGGGAGGGCCTAGGCGCCAGAACCAGATCGTAACACACAACCTTCGACATTTATTGTGGCAAAAGAATTCTTTCATTTTGATGGCTGAACCTTGTTGAACGAGAAAGGGTCAGACTTTGAGGTACTGCTGAAAAATTTTATATAGGGGTTCATTTTGTGCTGCTGCTACTGGGCCTAGAGGCTCAGGTGGTAAATTCTGCAAAAAGTTTGTTTTGTTTGCAGACTGGCCCCTCTGGATGCTGGTAAAATACTTAATTTAACACCGATACCTTACCATTGTCTTTCTGTTTTTGTTTAATGTGATTTAAATGTAGAATTCACAAAAATTACACTGTTCTGAATTTAACTAGAACTAGAATATTCATTCAATGATTAAATGGTTGCCTATCTTTGTAATATAATGTTCATGGATACATTTTAGTTTGTTTGAATAGCTATTTAATTTGTTTTAAATAACATGTTATTTATTTGCAAGTTGATTTTCACTTTTGCTGTAATTTAATTTAAAGAACTAGCTGTAAAGAAGTTAAGAGAGATTTTAACAGTTAGAGAAGTCATTACTTTCTTACAGTCTTGTTACTGATATTGTTACCAAGCAGAATAGGATTTGTTGTCACAGCCTTTGGTGAAAAGTTTTATGCTATGGTGGGCTGTTGTGTTCTATTTTGAAACCATTTGACATGTTGCATCTTTGGAAATTTTATGTGGTTAATCATATGAGCTACATGGGCCTATTGTCATACACTGCACTCTTGTTTTGGAGATGCATCTCCTTTTCTGTTTTATTGATACTAAGCCAATAACGAACAAGGTTTATTGAGAATGCAACACAGAAGTCAAAATCTTGAGATATATTTATTTGAGCAAGGTGGTACTAGGAACTGGAAATGCTGTCCAATAAAGTATGTTTTACATTAAGTTAGTACACACAGTAAAGGCAGATAGAATCTGTTTTTAATGCATGTTAAAATGCAGTATTTGGTATGATGTAATCTAGTATGGCAGGAGTTGGAGTAATGGAGTAGTCTTTCAACAAGAAAAATGATGAGAAATGCATATGTTTGCTTATTTTAGCAAGCCTATTACCAGACTAAGTTTTGATGGAATTGTGGTTTGGATAAAAAGCTAATTTTGGTTAACATTCCTGTGGAAGGAAATATTATGAAGGCAAAAAATTATCATTTTCTTTGACAAAAGAAAGTGCATCTGAAAGCTAAGCAAAGGGAAGTTTAGTATAAAGTGTCAGGTCTCAGAAGATTCAAATTTAAATTTGATGGATCTTCTAAATAGACAGTCATCCCAAAGTAATTTTTCTTCCATGTATTTCCAAATGATGAACAACAAATCTGAAACAGATATACAGACTTTGACTTTGATGCAGAAATATTTTACTCTAAAGCAGTGCAATTATCATATGCCAAAAGATATGATGCATTTAAGAGAGTTAGCATCCAGAAAGAAGTTGACTAGCCTTAGCAGTCTACTTTTGTTGCTAGAAAAGGTTTTTGCCCATTTCTTTGTCCAAGTTTCTATGGCTTGTATACTCTGAAAGTGCCTGCATTTTTAGTAATTTCATTGGTCAACTTTCGTTAATAATTCTCTTCTATGATGAGTCTTGTGCCCTTTAATTTTTATCAATCATTTGGATGTCCACAAAACTACACTTCTTTCTATAAAATTCCACATGTTAAACCATTAGAAAACCAAGCACAATTTGCCACACACATTTTGTCTTGATCTTTGTGTTATTTTTCCCTGCATTACCCAATTTTCAATTACTAGTGTTGCTATGCTTATTAAGTAATTCTTTAATGTTGCATCATTGTTGTTTTTTGGGCAATAATATGAGGGGGCAAGCCTATTTTTTTGATAAGATGACATCACATTTGTCCATTCTTTTTAGAATAAAAGACCTCTGTCTTCCCAAAATGTTGGGGAACAACTACCTCCCTTCATCTCCCCTGGGTGTCTGCCACTTCTTATTGTTTGTTTCTATTTCTCCTCTTAAAATTTCAATAATTTTAATCATTGCATCCATAAAAGACAGAAAACAATTTCTTGGGCGTTTCCGGGAAATGGGCGTGGTCGGTCGGTCATAATGGGTTTTGAGAATGTCAAATTTTTGTCTGGATCCGCCCCTGCTTGTGGGCACTTATGGGCACCTCCCTCTCTGCCACTGCAGCTCTTATGACGTACGTCGCACGCTGGTCGTACGTCGAAAGACGTTCGATGTTTTGCTGTCTCGTTTACATGAGGACGCAAATCAGATAGAGGCTTTTTGAAAAGGAGGGTTGTGCCCACAATCTGGATGTCTTTTGGAAAAATATTCTTGCCTATAAATGCGTAAAATGTATGTATTCCCAATTCATTATTGCTAACAAAGTTTGCATTTTGTTATCTTATTTCTTAAAGGCTTGTTAAAGGTTGTAAAACTGAGTTAAAAAATCTGGTTCAATGCCACGCTTCTAATGTCAATGATCTCAAATAAGGAACTTTTTTGATCTGTTGCACGCTGCCGTCTAGCCCCAAGGCCTATGACAACTTCCTTGAAAGCGATTTCTCCGTTCTGTTACAAATTGTTTAAAGTGTGCATTTATTTTCTT